ATTACAGGTATCCTAACCCAACTGTTAGTAACAGTTGCCATAATACGAATATTATATAGGTGATTATCCAAATTTTCATCGTTGATAGGATTTGAACACCCAACCTACCACTTGGGGGGTTGACAACCTGACCACTTCACTAGGTCACCACACCCTCTATAAATATAATTATTGTTTTTAAAATTATAATGTATTTTATAAATTATAAATTATTTTTTAAAAAAAATAATATAAATAAAAAATAATTAAATTTATTTATATAAATAACCAAAATAATAATAATTAGATCTAATATATAAAACAGATTATGATTTTTTTGCAGTTGTAAGAATTAAATTTAAAATAATAAGTAATTTTGCAAAAAAAAACTCATTTAAATTATTTTCAACATTATTAAAATTCTAAATTTAGATATTACAACTTATTATTGTTTAAAAAACTTTAAATTATTAGTTATTTTTTTAATATTTTAGTAGTACTGTTTTTATCTTTTTTACATATAAGTAAAACATATATTTATTTTTTTAATGAACCCAAACTTTTACTAAATTATTTTTTTTATATAATAACAATTTATTATAAACTTACCAACTATATTTTTTTAAAATTTTTTTAATTTTTTTTCTGATTTTATTATAATTTATTTTTTTGTTTTTTTTTTTGTTTTCAGATATTTTGTTTAATAATATTTTTAGTATACACTTGTTTAGTTTAAATATTTTTTATATTTTATTTTTTTTTGTTTTTTAATGTTTTTTTTTAACTTTTGTAAATTATTTGGTTTGTTTTACCTTGCTTAAACTTTTTTTTTAACAAATTAAGTTATTGTCAAATAATTGAAATTTTTTCTAACTTGTTAATAAACTACTTTATATATATTAAATTAAATTTTTGCAAGACTAAGGCTACTTGCATTAGAATACTTTATTATTTACAAAAAAACAAAAATAATTAATTAAAATTGTAAAACGATTTATTTAATCTTATTTACAAAAAATTAATCGTTACACGATCTAGTTTAACATTGCATAATATTATCAAGTTTTAATTCAACCTTAAAAACCAACTTGACTTATAAAAAAAAAAACAAACCAAAATTTGTATTAATTATGAAATTAAATCTCAAATGAAACTAGTACTATACGGTAATTTTAAAACCTAAATCATTATACCTTTTTAAATAAAAAAGGTATAAACCCAAAAAAAAACAAGTTTTTTAAGCGTCAAAACAGGTAATACAAATAATAAAAACATGTACGTATTATTACATATGTTAGACTAGCATATAATTTAATTAAGATTTTCCGAGCCAAGACCTTATCTATGTACATATGTACGTACAACAATTATATTATTGACATAGCTAAGTTCAGAACATACCCGAACTGATGATACGTACGTACGTAAAAGCGCAGATGAATTAGATGAATTAGAAATTTATTACGTATTAGAAGTAATAGCGATAGGCGGATAGACATGGAAAATTTTTTTAGATGCTTCTCGGCCGATACAGTAAAAAGCAGTATTGTAGAGATATGTATAAGAGATATTTTATTTTTGAAAGAAACAATATATTTATAGATCTGTAGCCTGCATCTTAAAAAGAAACCTGGCCGAACAATAATGAACGATACGTAGGATATTTATTATTAATGTAAATTATGTTTTGAAAGAAAAACTTTGTTATAAATTTATATTTTTAATGTTACATAATATTTTGTTTGTAAAAAACCAAGATTCTTTTTTTTTTGGACAATAAAAGAAATTTTTAAAAAAATTCTAAAGAATTATCATTGTACACACATAACATATGTATGTACATGTACATGAGTATGTACATATTCTTGGAATGGTGTTTACCTTAACGTTTAATTTAAATTGAATGATTTGTCATACGAAACTCCTACTGGTGTTCTTTTTTTCCCTTCTTTTTTTTTTCAGGGTATACAGTTACATATAATTACAGATATATAGTTTGTATTGATATATAGTTGATATATAGTTGATATATAGTTGATATACCGGGTGTTTCAAAAGTTTCCACTACACGGGCACTTTTTTTTAAAGTAACTAATATATATAGAGGTCACGATGATTATCATCGTGATCTATATAAAGTCACTTAAAAAAAAGGGACCGTGTAGTAAACACCCGGTATAGTTAGTATATGTACAGTATATAATATATATAATATATATAATATATATAGATATATATATAAATATAGTATCTTATTATGGAAAAATACTACCGGCATAAATATATGTATTTCAATATCGATACGTATTGCATAAGGATAAACTTATTGTGGAGGACACTTTTAGTTTTTTAGTAAAGTTAAATTAGTATGAAACTCTTTTTTTTATGACCTACACGCCGATTTCCCTTTTGGATAAGTTGAAATATTTTTAAAAAAAAATTCAAAATTTTATTGGAATTGTAAAGGGAAGATTGGTAACACAAACCATCTGCAAATTTATTTGTGCATATAAATAAATACGTACCTTTAAAATTAGCCCAATTTCACGTTCTTTTTTTATTCCCAAACAACTTGTTATAAATTCAACAACAAGAAAATACGATCGTGTTTTCATTTATAAATATTCGAAAAGTATGAACCCTTATAATAATAATACTACTGATACATCATTTTATAAATTTGTAATAGTTGATAAAACTAAAGGACCAGAAATTAAAGAAAAAAAATCATTAAAACCTGTTCCAGTTACAATGACTACAGTACCAGTTTCTTCTGACGGTAAAAAAAATACTGAAGACAGAAAAAATGAAATTATCCAAAATAATGTTGAAACTATAAAAAAGGAAGATCAAGAACCTGAAACTAAACCACGAGAAAGGACTTGTGAGTATATATTTCCATATATATAATATTTATTTTTTTGGGTTAGCGACATAAACATACATAATTGACATAATTTCAATATATCAAATATATTTGATATAGGGAACGTTATGGATTTAGTCAGGAAGGACTCAAGTCAATCCAAAGTTAATCCTCCAGGTCCTATAAGCCCTACTACGAGCGTTGCAAGTATTATTACTACATCAACAACTTCTGATAGTACGGCTGTTTCCAACAATATACCTATCGGTTCCGCAGTTGAAACACCTACTACTGAAAACAATGTTACACCAGAACCTTCGTTAGTACCACAAGCCCCAGCAAACACTTTATTCACTTCGCCCCTTTCTATTTCACCAACCTCTCCTCCCAAAATTGCTACTGAACCACAAGTTATACAATCACCACAAACTCCACAAACTCCACAAACACCGCAAACACCTCAAAAAACCAAACCTTTTGAAATTGTCAAAAGAATGTTGAGTTCAAAAAAATCTTCACAACCACAACCACAACCTCCTGTGGTGGTAGAACCTTCAGCCACGATTTCAACGGAAGAAAACGCAACACCTGATAATAAAACAGATGAATTATTAGTTAAAACAACAACTGTTAAAGAAGAAAATGATGATAAAAAAATTGAAGAAACTGTTGTTATTGAAAAAGAAGATATTCCAGAACAAGTAGAACGTGATATTAAATTAAACGATGAAATTGAGGAAGAGACTACAGATTTGAATAAAAAATCCAAAACTGTCGCGAATGGAGGAGGCAATTTCCGAGACTTTTTCTCACGTTGTATTGAAAAACTTCAACAAGAATTTGATGAACTTGACCGACGAATGTATTCAGGAGTTAATTCATCTGAAGTAGCTACACGTGAAGTTCAGAAAAATGACCTTCAAAAAGTTGAACTTCAAAAAAATGAACTTCAAAAAAATGAACTTCATAAACGTGAAAGAGAACAATTATTGGAACGAGCCGATACAGATTCAGATGTACAACCTAATGTACAAACTAATGTACAAACTAACGGTGATGCACGAAGTGCTTTGGCCGATGCTGGTGAAGCACTTAATGAACGTGGTGAAAAACTTGGTGAATTAAATGAAAGACTTGGTGCTTTAGGAGGTGCAAGCGCTGAATTTGCTAGATTGGCAGCTGATCTTAGAAAAAAGGAAGCAAACAAAAAATGGTATCAACAAATTTTCTAATCGCAATTGTCGTCAACTTTGCGATTTCATTTTTTACTTTTTTGAGAAATAATGTTATTTTTTGAAGATAAATTTTATGCGGGGCATTTATAAAATAATAAATAAGTTTGTCGATTTATTTCTTTATTTGATATATTTTAATACGATAGTTTTTTTTCCTTTTTTTTTTTTTTTTTGTCTTGGTTTTGGTTTTTTTTCTATTTTTTTTTTTTTTTTTTAAAGGTATATAGTAAATAATTTTATTGTACATATTACGCGATATTTTTATAATATACATCAACTTCATTACATTTAACATCTTTATGTTTTGTACTTTCATGCAAATTCTATTATCATTATTTTGTTAAGAAAAAAAAGAATAAAATAAACAAATAAATAAATAAAATATGATATTATTAACTATTGTAAATATTGTGTAATTATGATGAAATTATCGTGATTATACTGATAAAAATTTAAATGTATATTTTATTCGTGTTAATAGATGTTATATAAATTTGTAAAAAAAAAAAAAAAACTTACAAGGTTAAAGAAATTAAGCTTCCGAAAACATATTATTGAATGCATTTACCAAATTTTGTTGTAAAAATTCTTTTTCGCGTCGTCTTAATCGTTGACGTCGCGACACGGATTTCTCAGCATCTATAAAAAATTTTATTACTTAAATATCAGATCATACTTGTTTATCAAAACATTCATGTTATATTTTTACCTTCGGTAACTTGGTACATTACTACATCAGTTGGTATTGATAATTTTAAATTTTTATAAGTTAAACTAAATTCTATGACACTTTTAATGATCAAATTTGATATAGTTAATATTCATGTTAAAATAATGATCAAAATTTTAATATAATTAATAATACTATTATTAACCTTTCTTTTAGTCTAACTGAAAAGTCAATTGAATTATATGCATTATTGGATCTCAAATTTGAGACACCCACATCTTGCTGCATTATTTTAGCTTCTTCACGTCTGGTAACAAATGCTTGTAAATAATCATGAAGTGAATTTACAAATTTCTAAAAAATAATTAAACAATTGAAACTATTTTTTGTAAATATTAAAAAAGAATGAATCAAAAAAAAAAAAGCATACATCAAGGTCTTTATTGAGATAGTCGGACTCCAATTCATTCAGAGGAATGAAATGTGGTATTGTATGTTTAAAAACACTTAATTGATCATTTTCTTCGTCCTGACTAAGAATGACGTAATAAGGCTCCCGATATTGGCCTAATGAAAAGAATTTAAGATTCAGAGTTAAAAAAAATTATATATATGTTTAAGAAATATTAAAGATATATTCAAGATATTCAAGACATTAAGATATATTTAGGATCTTAAGATATATTTAGGATATATTTAAGCAAAAATAAGCTTATTACCTCCATAAAAGGTTTCAAATCTCAAACCAACACGGTTTTCTTTTAATGTGAAAATCGTTTTACCAGTAAGACGGTAGGCTCTCAAGAATTCCTCGCATTCGCGTCGTTTACTGACACGTAGCATCTCTTGAACAATCTATGTGTATATTTATATTATTCACGTGTATTTTAACTCTTAATAAATAAAAAGAAACCATACTTTTTCTTGAATTTCAAAATTGATTGTCGATGGTATCTCAAAATTTTCTTTAGAAATGATATCGCGTAACATTATTGAATTCTCTTCTACCTCAAGTACGCGTTTTAATTCATCGCGTTTTTTCAGTAATCTTTGTACTTCATGATTCATCAGGATTTTTTTTTTTTTTTCTGAGGCTATTAACGTAACGATACGTATCTATTTAGTAAAGAACGATAAAATATTTATTTATGCCCAACTTAGAGGTCTGTTAAAGACAGGTACTTTCATATAACTGATAATGATCTACATACTGCATAAATTATATTCTTAATATCTATATAACTAACCCTAACTGCATCAAAAAAGTAACCCTAGCTTGTACCCTTCCCCAACTTGGAAGGTGATTGTTCCTGCCCGATCAAATCAAAGAAGTTTCTTAATTTCGAATTATTCGAATTTATCATTCTATGTACATACATGTATTGAATTATCACTACGTATAACTAAACCTTATGACCTTTATTTTTAAAAATAGTTTTTTTTTTTTTTTTTTTTAAACCAAGGTTTGGTTCGAACCAATTATGGTCAAGAGGTTATCATTGGGCCAAATGGTCAATGATTAATAGTTTAGATTATTTTTTTTTTACCTCATAAAACATTTAATATCGATAATGACAGATTAAAAATTAAAAAATTATAGAATTTCATGATCTGCAGTAAAATTGAAATCTTAAACGTTCTTGATCACCTTTTCTGGTATAGCCAACAATAAAATAACAAAACGAGTTCGTACATACATAATATGTTTATAATTTATTGTCAAAAATACTTGTTATCGTTATTAATTAAAAAACGTTACGTTTGAAGGGTTTAAATGAACCCGAATTCAATTTCTGAAACAAGTAAATATCCAGATCTAATTAATTAAATCCGAATATATGACGAGGATGGTAATGATAAATGATATATTAATGATATAGTAATGATAATGATAATACAAATATAAAATCACCTTATAGTTTTGTAGTCAGTGATCAATTCATGTCAGTGATGAGAATTAAAGAAGCATTTAAATTTGATTTTTGTACTAATCTTGCGATCTTTTGTATTATCTTATTTGGAAATTAGTATGACTCTTTCTTATTAATCTTTTGCGCAATACTATAACGCTAAAAAAAGATTTTTATAGTGCAAAAAAAAAAAGTACGTATACGTTACATTGCTTGAACTTTGTCGAAATTTGAAACGTAGAATAGACTTCAAATCGTTACCTTAGTCAAAACTTAAATATTATATCAATGCATTCTATTTTCAAATATCGTCAGGTTAGGGTTAAAGAAGTCAAAAAGAAGTCTAAATTAGGTTTCGGTTAAGGATACTAAGGAAATAGATTGCACGTACAAAAAAATATATGATAGAAAATGAAATACCATTATCTTTAGATTATTATTTGCTATGCATTTACTCACATGTTCTTGTAAACCGGATTTATTCTGGAAAAACTTTATCGTTATATATAAAAATCTAAAATTGTAATTATACATGTATTCAATTTTACATTAAGGATGTAACATTTCACAAATAAAGAATTAAAAAAAAGACCGGTTTTTATCTTGAAAAGATTGTTGACACTTTATCATAAAATGATTTCCAAATATGGAATTCCTCACACGGTGAAATTTCTGTAACTTTTTTTATAATGCTCATATTACTTTATAAAGTGTATTAAAAGGTTTTTATGAATTAAAAAATCACATGATAGTAGGTTATTATGAATAATAAACTATATTAGGTATTGTATCGTACCAGAATAAGCTTAATGGGGATCCTGATCTGAAATAACACCCATTCAGCAAGTTGCAGATTAATGAAAACTTTCGAATCAACAAATATCTTGTACATCTTACACGTACTGCGTATATACTACATAGTTCTCTTCTTTTTTCATCTAAAGAATTAGTTTACAAATAGATGTTAGTTATTGATATATATGATACATAGTGTTATAAAGTGTGATTACTAAATATATTAACTATAACACAAGTGCTAAAAAAAAAGAACGATCAAGATCTAAGATAATTTGGGATTTTAAGAAAAGCTCGTTACACGTTCAATTTATTCTAAATAAATAATCTTATATCGGTGATGAGGTGTCAAACAATAATTTTTCTTATGTAAATTCATTGTGTAGATATTAACTTATTATGTGAATAGATAAATATATATAATGCATAATTACGTAGGATTGGCATTAATAAATTTGGGGGTATGGGGTTTATACGACATGCTCTTTGGCCAAAAGGCGTGCACTTATTATATGATTTAGTAAAGAAGATCCCGATCGGTCAAGTAAATCCTTTTAAAACTTTAATATTTCTCGACTTAATAAAATTTAAACAATTTATACTGGAGAATATTGATATCCATTGTGTTATATCTTAAAAATTGATTTAAAAACAGAGGTCAGATATTTTAAATAAAAAATGTTTAAAATTTCAAAAAAAACCCCATTTATAATCTAAAATTTGGGCCTTTATATCAGTTCTTTAATTTTGATATAACCTTTATTTTAGTATATAATTGCATTCTAACTCTAAATTTAATATAAAAATATTATAAAAATAGGATAAATATTAATAACTACTAGTATAAATATTTTATTTTAATTTTATAAATTGGTAAATATATTACTAAAGTTATAAAAAATTAATTACCATATTTTCGTAAAATAACGTCTGTCTGCATGTTATTTTGAGTATATGTGTGTTAATTAGAGTACACGCATGGGCATTATTTTGATACAAATTTGATTTTTTAAAACTGATTTTCTAAATAACAACAATAAATATATTATAAGCAGTAATGTCAAGAGAAAACCAGGGTTTATATATTACAAATATTGTATATATGAAATACATGTTATTTAGAAACACATATGTATAAGCATTATTTTTTTATTTTTATTTTTATTTTTTTTCCCTTAAGCAGTCATGTTAGTGCTTTATTAAGATTTTGAAATTACATTTGCAATTATATAAATATCCTTAACAACTAAGCTTAGCATTACCCAGCCATCCTAATGGTACCTAAGTGCAACCTGTTGCATTACTTCAAGCAGAAGTAAGTCACTTATCTGACTACTTAAAGTCTATAATGAAAGGGTCTTCTCTCTTTCATGACAAGTTCTAAAATTGTTTTCTGTACTTTGTTTTCAATTTGTTTTTCTTTTTCTTTTATTTTCTCTTTTCTTTCTTCTATTACATGCTGATTTGGTTTTTTTTTTTTATTTGGTATTTTTTTCTTTTTTTCTTCTTTTTATCTTACCTATTATTTCCTTATTTTTCTCTCATTTATTGATCTTCTTACATCAGATTCTTCATACTTGTTTGTAAAATGTGTTCCAAGTTGTTCTTGCTATTATCTTCAT